TCGCTCTCCGTTCTCTGTCAGTTTTCTCACTCCATTTGGTGCTTGGCTGAGTTCTTTATCTCTTCATTTGATGTTTTAGGGTTTCAGGATTGTTGTTTTCTCTGTTCAGCTTAGTTTTTCGGATCTTTGCTATGGAGGGACAGCATGGTGGTTCGGCCTAGAGCACCATTTTGCCAGAAGTTTGCTTTTCAGTACTTTAAAGAGGTATTTTGCAGCAGATTTGCTCAATGATATGTGTCTTTTGATTTCTTGACCACTTCTTCCAAGGGTGTTGGTTGTGGATCCAAGTAAAATGAAAAATCCTTGACAACTTTAATTTTTTCATTTATCATGATGTTGATTATTGGTCCAGTTGTGAGGATTTTTATTTTATGTTGAGGTGTAATCCATACTGAAGGCTGTGGTCTTTGATCTTCATCAGTAAGTCCTTCAAATCCTCTCCACTTTCAGCAAGCAAGGTTGTGTCATCTGCATAAGGCAGGTTGTTAATGAGTCTTCCTCCAATCCTGATAGTCCAGCTTCTAGAATTATTTGTTCAGCATAGAGATTGAATAGGTATGGTGAAAGTATACAACCCTGACGCACACCTTCTCTACCTTTAAACTACACAGTATCACCTTTTCGTGTTTTAAGGACTGCCTCTAGATCTATGCACAGGTTTCTCATGAGAACAATTGTTCAGGAATTCCTGTTCTTTGCCAAGTTATCCATAATTTGTTATGATCCACACAAATAACTTTGCATAATCAATAAGACACAGGTAAACATCTTTCTGGTATTCTCTGCTTTCAGTCAGGATTCTTCTGACATCAGCAGTGATATTCTTGGTTCCACGTCCTCTTCTGAACTTGGCTTGAATTTATGGCTGCTCCCTGTTGATATACTGCTGCAGCCACTTTTGAATGATATTCACAAAATTTTACTTGTGTGTGATATTAATTATATTGTTCAGTAATTTCCACATTTGGTTGGATCACCTTTCTTGGGAATAGGCATAAATACGAATCTCTTCCAGTCAGTTGGCCAGGTAGATGCCTTCCAAATTTCTTGACATAGACGAGTGAGCACTTCCAGTGCTGCATCTGTCTGTTGAAACATCTCAGTTGGTATTCCGTCAATTCCTGGAGCCTTGTTTTTCGCCAGCTTGGACTTCTTCAGTGCAGCTTGGACTTCTTCCTTTAGTACCATCAGTTCCTGATCATATGCTACTTTCTGAAATGGCACAATGAACACCAATTCTTTTTGGTATAGTGACTGTGTATTCTTCCATCTTCTTTTGACACTTCTTACATCCATTAATATTTTCCCAGTAGAATCCTTCAATATTGCAACTCGAGGCTTGAATTCTCTCTTCAGTTCTTTCAACTTGAGAAATGCTGAGCATGTTCTTCTTTTTTGGTTTCCTAACTCCTGATCTTTGCACACTTCTTTTTAATACTTTGCTTTGTCTTCTCAAACCACCCTTTGAAATCTCTGTTCAACTCTTTTACTTCACCATTTCTTCTGTTTGCTTTAGCTACTTGATGTTCAAGAGCAAGTTTTAGAGTCTCTTATGACATCCATTTTGGTATTTTCTTTCTTTTCTGTCTTTTTAATGACCTTTTGCTTTCTTCATGTATGATGTCCTTGATGTCATCCCACAAAGCTTCTGCTCTTCGGTCACTGGAATTCAATGTATCAAATCTATTCTTGAAGTAGTCTCTAAATTCATGTGGGATATACTCAAAGTCATACTTTGGCTCTTGTGGACTTGTTTTAATTTAGC